AGACTTAGACTCAAAGGTTTCTTGGGCAATGTGCAGCATCTCAAGGTGAAAAACTCTTATCCTCACACTTGCTATTTCTAAACCAGAATTCCAGTACTTCTACATACTAGTATTTCTCAGTTAGTGGATAATTGCTACTGTAGCATTTTAAAGGATTTTAGGTGGTACAATGAATATATTTAGTGATTATATGATTATATTAACATATACTTGAAAAATATAGAACTGGTATGTTAAACCCATTATTTTTCAAAAATTCTTGCCTAGAATCAACAAGAAAGTACTTAAGTGAAAGAAAAGTGAGTCTACTTTAAAGAAAAGTACTTGGTTAGTAATAATATATACATGGTACACAGACATGGCAAAGCTGTGCTGGTTACACAATAGACAACTTGAGTGAGGTCGAATGAAAACAGACCGCACTGTGGTCTTTGGTCACATGGAGCCCTGCCTTTCTAGAGACTGGTTCTCTGTGATCCCTTTCTTCATTTTCCCATAACCTCTTCTGTTCATGTTTCTTTGTTCCACAAGGACAAGTTTCAAGGCCCCACCCAATGGGAACCCCATTGGTGTGATAAGTGTTAGATGGGATCAGCATATAGACACACTGAGTATTATTCTGCCCTGAGATCTGTGATTCTTGAACTTGCTTTCTGATTGGGGTAAATCAAAGACCCTCCCAAAGTTTCCCTTACAGATAGGTACATGCTAGGTTTGTGAGGCTCCTCTCATTCTTTCTTGGCTAAACCTTCAAAGGAGGATGTTCCAGTGTTTCAGTGGACTCAAGTTAAACGAAACTTCTTGTATTGAGCTCCTGGCGTCAGAAACTATCTAGGACAGCTCCAAAAGTGTTCATTATTAAAGAATTGTCACATGGCCCTGTTTAAATGTTACCCTGTTTTATCTTTTGCTAGCAAACACGCATACACACATAAAGAAAGGTAATAGATCTCCCTTATTGATGGCTGTTCTTCAGCTAATCCACCCTTTCCAGTTCTACTAAGACCCACTGTGCACTGTGTGCATGCATTATTTAGCATGAGGTGTGATCCATGTTTATGCTATCCATGTTTCCAAAGACAAAAAGCGTTTGGAACCAGACTGAAGATATAAAAGCTTACAGAATCATTTGAATTTGTTTCAGCAAAGGCAGGCAGGCTGGCGGGTGGGAAGGAAGGGAGGAAGGAAGAAGAAAGGAAGGAAGGGAGGAAGGAAGGAGGAAGGAAGGAAAGAAGGGAGGGAGAAAGGAAGGGAGGAAGGGAGGGAGGGGGAGAAGGAGGAGGAGGAAGGAAGGAAGGAAGGAAGGAAGGAAGGAAGGAAGGAAGGAAGGAAGCAGGCAGGCATTTGCTTATGTAACTGAGTTGCCCATGTTAAGCAGACCTGTTTCTAGGAGGCATCAAATAGTTCCATTTGGACTTTGCCTCAGTCAGTGTGTCTTTTTCATTCAAACTTGCTTTCTACCAGTTAGCTTCATTCTCAGACAGGCTTTCAGTGTGGTAAACAAGAGAGCCACCAGCAACTCTTTGTTTACAATGCATCGCCACCTTTATACCCCCAAAGGAAAGACAACTATTCTTTTCCAGTGAATCACCCTACAATCCCAGCATTTGACCAACTTGAGTCAAGTACCCAACCTCCTATGAGTCTCTGTAACCCAAAGGTGGGGTACACTGACTGAGTCACATGTCATCCAAGATGAGAGGAGGCTCTATCTCCTCCCAAACCAGATGGACTCACAGGGCAGGCATTTGGCAGTTGAGATACCTGTCTCCCACAACCAGGTGCCTAGGTTTGATTCTTAGCTCTGGATCCCAACTCCATCTTCCCACCAGTATAGACCCTGGGAAGCAGCAGGTGGTGGTTCAGGTGATTGGATCGCACCACTCACATGAGAGATTTGGATTGAGTTCCCAGCCTGGCTCAGCCCCAGATGGTGCAGGCATGTGGGGGAGTGAACCAGTGGACTAGAGTATCTCCCCCATCTCTCTCTCTCTCTCCCCGTCTCTGCCTCTCAAATAATAAATCATTTATTAAGTTTAAAAATGAACTCACAACAGGAGAGATCAAATTTGGTAGTATTCTCCAGAGAATCAACAGAACAGCACATGAAGAAAGAGAGAGGGAGAGAGAGATTGAGATTTACTAAAGGGTGTTGTATTACTGGTACCTAATTATGGAGATTGAGAAATTCCAAGGTGTCTAATCTATAAACTGGTGGTATAGTCCAAAAGCCTGAAGCACTGGTGTTGTAGCTTCCAGTCTATTCTGAAAATCTCAGAACCAAGAGCATTAAAGGCAGATCAGTGGCCCAGCTTGAGCAACCAGGAAGAGTGAATTCAATTTTCCTCTGCCTTTTTGTTCTATTTGTTAGAAAAAGAGTGCAGATGGGTGCCTCCTCACACGGGGCACCAAAATGTGAGGAAAAGATGCACAGAACAGAGAGGAGGCAGAATGCGAATCTACAGTCAGACCTAATTTATTCAGAGAAAATAAATTCACAGAGGTGGGCAAATGCCAGCGTGCACATTGACAGAACATGTGGCAGGAGGCCCCAACCTCAGGGGACAGGGTGGGGACTTTTTATATCTTAGGAGGGCTAGGGATGGGGGTGGGGAGCAGCGGGCCAAGGTGAATTCCTCAGAACCTGGGGAAGAATGCTGCAAGGGTGGGGTGTAATAGGGTGTGAGACCCAATTGAGATTCAAGGGCAAGGAATAAATTCCAATGTTTATCTTTTGGGCAATGAGTGAGAATGGCTGAAGCTTTTTCTTTGTTCCATCAGACCCTCAGTGGGTTGGATGAAACTCACCTGCATTGAACAGGTGTCTGCTTTTACTAAGTCCACCAATTCTTACGCTAATCTCTTGCAGAAACACTTTCACAGATATATCCAGAAATAATATTTAACCAGCTATTTGGGTATTCCTTCGCCCAGTCAAGTTGACAAATACAACGAACCATCACAGTGGTTTCCTTCAAGGCATTCAGGATGCTGTTTCAAAACAGCTGTTGTGGGGCCAGTTTCTGTGGCACAGTGGATTAAAGCCCTGACCCAAAGCGCCTGCATCCCGTATGGGTGCTGGTTCAAGACCTAACTGCTCCACTTCCAATCCAGCTCTCTGCTATGGCCTGTAAAAGCAGTAAAAGATGGCCCAAGTCCTTGGGTCCCTGCACCCATGTGGGAGACCCAGAAGAAGCTCCTGGCCTCTGGCTTCGGATCAGCACATCTCTGGCCCTTGCAGCCAATTGGGGAGTGAACCATCGGATGGAAGACCTCTCTCTCTCTGCCTCTCCTCTCTCTGTGTAACTCTGACTTTCAAATAAATAAAGAAATCTTTAAAAAGAAAAAAAAAGCTGTTGTTCATGATGAAGATTGTATTAGCTGTGTCACATGGAAAACTTCCCCATCATGTCAACTGTCCTATAGCACTGACTCCCTGGAAACTGTAATAAACATGCCCTATTCTGTAGTAGAAGGAGTATTCTGAACATTAGTCAGATACTTTGAAACAACCACAACTCTTTCACTGGCTCCCCTTAGCAATGAGACTCTCAAATCCACAGACCTATGAATCTTACTGAGATTAAACTGAGTAAACTCAGAATCTTACCTTTTGAGAACTGTCAAAACTTAGCAAAATTGCAGGATAAATGCCTGATTTAGCTTGCTCATTTTTGTTGGGGGAGGGGGTCACAGTATAACCACTGCACTTCGTTCTGTGGAAAATGGCACTGGCTAAGGAGCCAGGAAAGCTGTACCAATTATGACTTAGATAATTTGCTTCACTCAGTCTTGGCTGCCTCATCTGTAAAATAACAATGATGATACTTGTCTTATTAGTTTGTGCTGAAAATGTGATGAAGTAATACAATAAATACATAATAAATATATTTAATTTATTTATTAAATAAACATTATAAATACCTATTAAATATTTAAAATCAATCAGTGTAAGTAAATAAGTCAGAAAATAGCAAGGATCGATGCAGTACCTACTATGTTGGATTTTTTTTACGATTTATTTATTTATTTATTTGAAAGTCAGAGTTCCAGAGAGAGAGGCACATAGAGAGAGATCTCTCATCTGCTGGTTCACTCCCCAAATTGCTACAATGACCCAGGCTGGGATGGGTCGAACTCACAAGCCAAGAGCTTCTTCTGGATTGCCCACATGGGTACAGGGGCTCAAGCACTTGGGCCATTTCTCGCTGCTTTCTCAGGCACATTAGCAGGGCACTGGATCAGAAGCAGAGAAGCCGGGATGCAAACCAGCACCCATACTAAGATGCCAGCATTACAGGTGGCAGCTTTACCTGCTACGCCACAACGCTGGCCCCATTATGTAAGTTCTTTCTGTCTTGTCTCAATAAATAATCCTTCATTATAATTTTTTAGTTTTGGTAAATATACATTAATTTCTTTCATAAAGTGAAGGTTTCAAATTTGTCTAAGATTTGAACTGAACTACTATATGTTATGTACTTGGTGGTAGTAGTAAAAATTTATACTTAATACCACATGACTATGTATTCAACTAACTGGTCAAAAGAATTTAAATTCTGGGGATTCTGAGTTTGACAGTAGGAGACACCCAAAATAAGACATTCCTCTGGCTTAGAGAAAGACATGTATGTGGGAGACAAATAGGAAACCTATAATCAATGAAATGATTAAAAAAACACTTTCTGCAACTGTGATATCGGAAATTACCCCCTAAAATCTATACAAAAATGTGGCCGCTTGAAGTTCCCCAGAAACGCCATCTGGGGAGCCACATATGCTACCAAAATTTGGGGTGCCATATGATATCACCATATGCTTATTAATAAATCCCCAATATTAATAAGCCTGGGAGGGTTCTTGCCTAATATTTAGAGAAGAATTCTAAATATGGCATCCATAAACAAGGTAGCATGATACACTTTAGGCTTTTATGTAGTGAGAAAGATATGTAGGAGAGTGAGAGCTTTATCTAAGAGAGAGGGAAATCTGGTACATACCAAGCACCAGGAACCAGCCATGTGGAGGAACATCTAGGCCAGGAAGCCGAGGGCACATGGCCTTCAGGCCTGGAGGTGCAGGGCTACAGCTAGCCCCCTCCTGGCAAGAGGCCAGGGAAGAAGAGAAGGCCCCAGACACACGTAGTCCCAGGCTTTTAACCCACTTCCAAAGGGGAGTGGTTAATTAACCTGATTGGCTGGTGGGCACCCAGGTGTGGCCAGGTAAGGGCATGAGGTCACAAAGGGGCGTGGTGAAGGCATGGTCTTCCAGCTCACAAACCTAATTTTTAACCTGTATGCCTGCCTACTTCAAATGTACTCCTACTGAATTTCCTAAGTGAAAGTTATTCACCAGAAACACTCTCTGACTTGTATCCCTAAAATGAAGAAAAACAAAACTCATTCCAAGGAAATTAGATTTTGAATTCATGGAAATACTACTAGAAAAAAAAAAAAAAAAAGTCAAGTCCCTAGAACTTTTCCACAAACCTCAATAACTATTTGGAATCACTTCTAGGTTTTGCTTTCAAATCCAGATTAACAAAAATATAATAAGCCTGCTAAATGGTGCCCAGGATCCTATCAGTAATATTTTCATGTGTTCTCTTATTTTGCTCTTGCCAAGATACTATTCCCTTGTTTTGCAGTCCAAAGAATCTGAGGTTCTGGAGAGTTATATGACTTGCCTAAAGTCAAACAGCTAGGATTTTCAAACCCTGGATTGCCCACTGTAAATTCAATGCTCTGTCCACAGAATGTTAGTAGCATACACTAACATAAAATGGAGAGGGTTTTTTTAATTTTACACATTTAATATCTGCTTTCTTCACCAAGATTTCTACAAGCCAAATAAATTGATTTGAAAGTTATTTTTAGAAATTATTTCACTCATCTCTGAAAGAAGCCTTCAAAGAGTTTTGCAAAAGTGTACAAAAATATTGTCCAGCAGTTTAATGAAATGAAAATAGGAGAGAGAGAAATTATTGGAAACCACAGAGTGTTTGTGAATAAACAGGGGCAGAGCGATGATTCCCTAATTAAATGTTACCTGCCCCCCTCCAGCATAAAAGTGTATATTAGTTTTCCATCTCAGTACAGGAAAGTTGTCCTGGTTGTATAAAATTTCAGTTCTGTTTGAGCCCACCTAGATTTCTATTACCCAGGGTAGCTGTTTTTGCCATTTCAAGAAACTCTGGTTGAAAGCATCCAAATAAAATAAGTAGGAAAATGAACTAAACATTGATAAACTAAACCAGTGAAGTATGGTAGGCCACATCTTTCATAGTGAAATGATATTTCCTGGAGATAAAAAAAAAAATGTACACAACACAATTTCCAGGTGGCACGTTGGCTGCTGCAGGTGAAATGCAGGTCATTGGTCAGAATGACCACATGAGGTGAGACCAAATGCCCAGCACTTCCCCAGGCCTTTTCACTCCCAGAAGGACAAGGAACTCTTCTGTGCCCTTCAGCATACAACTCAACAGCCATTCTACTTCCCTAACACGACTGTTCCTTGTCCTGTCTCCACAGAACTCTGTGAAGGAAGAACTGCATTTCCTGCTCTAGACTTAGAATTGTTTAGGTTCATCACCTCACCCACTAAACTGTAAGCTCCTTGACTGAGGGCTTAGCTTTTGGTGTCTTTCTGCAGCACTTATTGTAGTGTCTAGCATACAACAAGCACTCAGTCGTTGACTTACTGTCATTATTATTATTATTATTTATTATTTTGACAGGCAGAGTGGACAGTGAGAGAGAGAGAGAGAGAGAGACAGAGAAAGGTCTTCTTTTGCCATTGGTTCACCCTCCAATGGCCACCGCGGCCGGCGTGCTGCGGCCGGCGCACGGCGCTGATCTGAAGCCAGGAGCCAGGTGCTTCTCCTGGTCTCCCATGGGGTGCAGGGCCCAAGCACTTGGGCCATCCTCCACTGCACTCCCTGGCCACAGCAGAGAGCTGGCCTGGAAGAGGGGCAACCGGGACAGAATCCGGCGCCCCGACCGGGACTAGAACCTGGTGTGCCGGCGCCGCAGGCAGAGGATTAGCCTATTGAACCGCGGTGCCAGCCGACTTACTGTCCTTTACAAGGATTTTACAGCAAACTTCTCTCTCTCTCCTCCCTTTGGAAAATGCCCTGCACTAGAATTTCATATCAGCATTATGCCAGGAATGAGAGTTGCACGACTGAATTTTTATCATGAGTTTGCTTTAGATCAATTTGTACTGCTAGAACAGAATACCACAGACTGAGTCATTGTAAAGAAAATAAATTCGTTTCTCACAGTTCTGAGGGCTGAACAGTCCAATATCAAGGTGCCGGCATCTGGTTAGGGTCCTCCTGCTGTATCACCCCACAGCAGAAAGAAGGGCAAGAGAGCAAGCCAGCCAGGTGAGGGCAAACTCGCTTTTCTAACTATCCTACTCTCAGAGTAACTGAGCTTCCCCTCTGCTAATACCAATAATCCATTCATGAAGGCAGACCTCAGACCCAGTCACCTCCCATCAGACCCCATTTCCCAACACTGCTGCGGCGTTAGAGGTTGAATTCTGGGGGACACATTCAAGCTACACAGCAGAGTTCCCAGTTTTACTGTCATCTCAATAAGCTCTTTTTTTTGATACCATAAACATTTTCTTGAAAAAAAAGAAAGTTGCTATCAGTTTTGTTTTGATTTTTAATCTGTCTCACTCCTACGCATGGCAGCCAATCAATAACGTAAAGTGAAAAAACAATGAAAAGTGGACGGTAACCATGACTGGGATTTTCCCTTGGCCCTGCCTTCAAAAATCTTCCACATCTTCCCTCAGTTGCTTAAAAGACATACAAATTTATTTCAACTATTAGATATCCAAGATCAGTCATAAATACATCTGTGTGGTTGCAAACAAAAGATGCTGTGACATTTCTTCAGGGCATTCGTGGGTTTGGAGGACACCACAGTTTTAGCATGTTTCTCCAGCTCTGTGCAGTGCACCTGTGCCACACTCTACATCGTGCTGATTTTTACTTTGCCATGGAAACAACCTTTCCTTTTGGGTTTTCTGTACATCATGGCCACAGGATGGAGGCTGTCCCACTTGGTATTCTGCTGTTTGGCATTCAAGTATTTTCTCCCTTTACTGTTGTTGCTAAAATTTACAGGAGGGGAAAACAGTTCTAAAGGAGATTACAATTACAGGCTGATATTCATTAGCAATTTAATGTGAGGCAATGTTTCTCCTGATTGGCTTTACAGACTGGCCCGGTTTCACACTCCATTATCTCATTCCATATGCAACTATCAACTATCGGCACCAAAAGGAACATTAACTGTAATTTCACATGTGCTGCCTTAGACATTGAGGGTCTTTGTACTGGCCCAGTGAACATTTCTGGACATTCGTCACTGCAAGTCAGCACTGTTATAATTGGAATCTCACCTCCGGTAAATGTTCACATAAAGCACGTGCATGACACAGGATAATGAGTTTCAAAGGCCCCTATCTAGGTCCCAGTTCCAATTAACCTGTGGCAGAGAGAACTGCACAAGAAATGTCAACAGTAAAATCAAGCCGGTGGATGTGGGCAGAGAAATGATGATAAATCACCCTAGCGGAACCCATCAATCAGTACCTATTTCTGTTCCTTGAAGAAGTTGTTTTTGCAAAGTAGTGTTTGTCACTACTCTCTCAAATAGTCTGCAAGCATAATGCACTGTTTCCCAGATAAAGGTTGACTAAATGAGTCTCTAGAGAATAAAAGCGAATGATGGACTCACTCATTAATTTACAGATCCTCACTCTGTCTCAGATGTTCATGCCAAGGAAAACAAAGGTACCAGCCACGCCTGCTCCTGCTAGGTGAGTGGGCTCTGTCGTCGCCCACTGCTTTATCATGTGTAATTGTGCTACCTAGAGAGTGGCTTGCCTTCAAAATGTTTTTTATTGAGCAATGTAAGGGTACTTCAAAGAGTCTGTGGAGGTGCTGGCATTTGGCAGAGCAGTTAAGACACCACCTGGGATGGGACAATCACATCCTATATCAGAGTGCCGATGTTTGAGTCCTGCCTCTGCTTCTAATCTAGCGTCCTGCTAAGGCACAACCTGGGAGGCAGCAGGGGGTGTCTCCCATCCATGTGGGAGCACTAGATTTTGTTCTGGGCCCCTGGCTTCAGCCTGGCTCAGCCCCAGCTGTTAACCACATTTGGGGAGTCAACCAGAGGATGGAAGAGTGCTCTCTCTGTCTCTGTTTTACTGCCTTTCAAATAAATGAAAACAAATAATTTTAACAATTTGTGGGAAAATGGAATTAAAAGATGTCTTTATTTTTGGTGCCAAAATCTTTTGAAACCCATGCATAGTCTTTTTTTTTTTTTTTTTTTTTTTTTTTTTTGACAGGCAGAGTGGACAGTGAGAGAGAGAGAGAGAGAGAGAAAGTTCTTCCTTTTGCTGTTGGTTCACCCTCCAATGGCCACCGCGGCCGGCGCATCGCGCTGATCTGAAGCCAGAAGCCAGGAGCCAGGTGCTTCTACTGGTCTCCCATGCGAGTGCAGGGCCCAAGCACTTGGGCCATCCTCCACTGCACTCCCAAGCCATAGCAGAGAGCTGGCCTGGAAGAGGGGCAACCGGGACTAGAACCCGGTGTGCCAGCGCCACAAGGCAGAGGATTAGCCTATTGAGCCACGGCGCCGGCCCATAGTCTTTTCATAATAAGCATTTGTTAAGAATTATTTGGAGCCCTCTCATATGACCAGGAGAAAAAGTAAATGGAGACACCTCCTCAGGACAACAGTGGCTTGCTTTCTGCACTGCCCTAGACCTCCACTGCATCAAGGTAGGGGATGGGGCGGTGCACAAAAGAGACAATAAGTCCTTCCCAGCAAGAGACAAAAGACACAACAGGCAAAGGGACGGTAATTCCCCCTCACAGAGGAAGCAGTCCGAAAATTACAAAGTAAAAATGTATATGTAGATTAATAGGATATTGGAAGGTGAGAAGGACCGTGGGGAAGCATGAATTAAACAGAGGTAAGGAGTGTTAAATAAGGTGGCTAGGACAGGTTCCCTTGGAAAAAAAGCAATCGTTTTGTATCCCCACTTCATAAATAAGGCAGCTGAGGAAGGAAGGGGGCAAGGTGATGTTTGAGCAAAATATGCAGATAATGGTAAAAAC